TTTCCCTACTTTTGGCAGTGATCTTAGTTAGCATAGTCTTAACAGTGTTGCAGATTCTCAAGGCCTTTTCTTCAGGGATTGCGGTTAGTTTGCAGTGGGAATCTATATTGAACCCAAGGAATTTTACGCACTGAGATGGAAGAAAAGAACATTTGCTTAGGCTTAGAAAGAAACCCAATTTATGAAGGAGACAGGTGTAGATGAAAGATGACATAATGCTCTGGGAAAGGTACGATGCATCATTAGAGAGTCGTCGATATACGAAAAAATGCATGTTAATCTTAATCTTAGTGAGGTCATTACTTCCTGCATGACAGTAGTAAATATCCAACATGCTGAAGAAATTCCAAAATAGAAAGTTGTGAAATGGAAAAACTTATTCTTCCATTGAAAAGCAAGATAATCTCTGGATTCTTTATTAACCATAATGTGGTAATATCCATTCTTGACATCGTAGGTGGTGACAAAATCAGTTACAGGGTTGAAAGAGCAAGCTGCAGCGATGTCACTCATAATGAAATTTTGGGAAAGAGATGAAAAGGTTGACAAATCTTAAATCCATAATGAATCTCTTTTTGAGGGAGCTTTCGATTACAAATATGAGATTAACGACAATTGGCGAAAATGTTTCGCAAATGACACCTTGACTGAGCAGGCCTTCTAAGGTGAAGTCAGCAAATTGCTGGTTCTCCTTGGAAAGGCTATAGGAGGGAAAATGGATTGTTGGTGGTTTCTCTTCTCTCAAGGCCTCTTCAAATTGTTGGACAGTTAATAAATTTTTTAACCATTCTCCAAACTTCCATAATCTTTGATGGATCATTGTGGCTTGTTCCTTCAAATTTTAGACAGACTCCATTTTTTATCCAATTCAGCACATTTCTTGAATCCTTTCTGTTTGATCTTCCCAACAGATCCTCCCATTGCTTGAAATGATCGGATAGCGAAGCTACCTTGAAATCCTCTGGCTTGTTGAGCCATTCTTCAGCTCTAGAGAGCAATTGCATGACACAAAATGCCTGCCTGATTGATGGAGAGTGATTGAGAAGTGAAAGCAATTGTTCAATAGAAGGCAATTGCCTAGCCATTATATGGTCTTCGTCCATCGTCTCTCCGGTTGTCTTGATGCTTGTAATGTTGCCTCGAATTGTAGTTGTTCTTGCCTTCTTGAGTTGGTAGTCAGCTGGTTGCCTGTAACACAAAGAATGTTTAAGTGGTTAGTAGTCCGGATTGCTTACCTTGGCGAAACTTCGTCAGGTTTTAACCGGAAAAAGTCGGCGGGCATGATAAGCGCCCTACAACCCCTTCGAGTATGAGTTTCTTATACAAATCCTTAATGGGATTGATAATAAAGTGCAACACCAACCGGAAAAGGTCGGGGAACTTGATGATATGCCCCTTAAGGTGTGCAGATAGTTTTTTGTACCTTCTTGCCGCCTTGTAATCTCAATCGCTCCATGCCTTGAGAATCTTTGGAAGGGCCTTGATTGAAGTGAAAAGTTGTGATTTCTGCAACCAATCCTTGACCTTTTGAGGAATCAAAGAGTCACACAAACGCCTTGCCACACGGTTAGTGTCATTTTCAAAGGCCTTGGCCTCATTTTTGTCTGTTCCATATTGCGTATAGGCTAGATGAACCATCTTGGCCCTGATGATCACATCAATATGCCTTCTCCAAGGAGGGGCCTGATAGATCCGATGGAGGTGCTTTACCTCCTCGGCTGCTGCAATACACTTGGGTGTGATTTCCAAGATGATTTCTTGAAAAATGACATTGATTCTGGCTTCATCCGCAAGCCCCAAGTCTTCCATGTCAATGTCGTCGCTATCTGAGTCTGAGTGGCCGCTCGAATGCCTTCGCCTCAGATAGCTCGGTTTCCTCCTTCTTTTGAGGGCAGTTTTCTTGACCGATGTTTCTAAATCACTTTCGGAAAATTGTTCGTCCTCAGAATGAGTCAGAGGCTTCTTTCCTTTTTTAGATTCTTCTTCCGGGAGAACCACTTTTATATTCAAGAGGGCTGCAGGGATTGTTTCAGAATTGTCCTCTCTCTTGACCTCGAAAATAATGTCATCCAGGCTTGCGCCTATTTCTGAGATATCTTTGAGGATTTTTGCAGGATAGTATCCTACTGCAGGGGTGTTACAGAATACATATACGACAGATCCCACCAGAATATCTGCCCCCCTAGTTTTGACGAAAGCTCTCGTAAAGGCGTCCATCTACATGCAAAAAAGAAGAAAGGAGTGAGAAAGTTTCAAAAGTATTTTCGAGAGGGAAAAAAGGAAAGGAGAGAGATAAATATTTGCTGAGAATTCTTCAAAAAACGATGTAGGTGTCCTGAGAGTTTGTCGTTTAGTTCTGATACCAGAGAGGCTAGTGCCCTTGTCGGTAGTCCTTGCATAGTGACAAGAACGGTTTTTTTTTTTGATCGTTACTTCTTACTCCTGGTGGTTCCAGGGAACTTGACGCGCAGGAGTCAAGACTAAGTACTAATTTGCCTAAGGTCTTTAAAATGAGCCTTTCCCGGTGGAATCCTTCTTGTGGTAAAGTTCTATCAATGTTTCTTGGTCCAGCGCTTCGCGTTTTCTCAGTCCCTTGCTTAAGTCGCTTGGTACCGCAGTGGTTCGGGGAATCTTGGTGTGAAGGGTTTCGGATTCGAATGCTGGACCGAATTCCGGTGGATTTGGTGCAACAAAACCAATTTGCAGAGGATCTTCAAAATAAGCTCCTTATGGTCGAATCCGCCTTCTGACAATGATTCGTGGTTCGCGTGTTACGGCTCGGATGATTTTTATTTATCTTTTTTGAGCGAAAAAATGCCAAAGGGTTCTGACAGCGGCAGCGTTCATTATTTGAGTCGACGCCGTAAAGGCAAGTAAGAATCCAAAATAAATATATCCCTGTTCCGTTATGCCAGATTTGATTCTTTCGGTGGAATCCGGGTACTGATCTGACTATTTTCGTCTGGCGCCAATCTGACCATTTTCGTCTGGCGCCAAATGATCTGTTACGCGTTTTTTTTTTTTTTTTTTTCAAAATGCAATGGGTAAGCAAAGTACTGTCACGTTTTCCATTCTAGATCCGCTTCAGGCATCCCTTCTGCTGGTTGCGGTGAAAGTTTATTAAGTGAAAATACTTTTAGTTTTCGGGGCCGGTGGTAAGCAGATGGGGAGTTCTGCAGGCCGTGCGCAGCAAGTTCTTCTGGTTGGTCTGCTTCTCTGCTCATTCTTTCCTCCCTTTTTATAGAATGAAATCTGGGTTCAGTGGCAGAATGCAATGGGTAAGCACCGTACTGTCACGTTTTTCATTCTAGATCCGCTTCAGGCATCCCTTCTGCTGGTTGCTGTGAAAGGTTAACAAGTGAAAATACTTTTAGTTTTCGGGGCCAGTGGTAAGCAGATGGGGAGTTCTGCAGGCCGTGCGCGGCAAGTTTTTCTAGTTGGTCTGCTGCTCTGCTTACTCTTTCCTCCCCTTTATAGGATGAAATATGAGTACATATACTCCTTTTGAGTCACGATAGACAGGGTAAAGGGATTTTGCCGCTGCTGATTGCGGTATTTAAGCGACAAGTCTTTCAGTCTTACGGGGCCAAAAGTGAGCTGCCACAGTTTAGCCATCTCCTTGCTCTGGTGGAAAGCTAGGGATTTCTACGGACCATGGTTGGAATGGGGAATGGCAGGTTGGTTTTGCTACTGTTTTGTCGGTGAAAATTTTAATACTCAAGGCTGTAGATAAAACACATACTACCTCAGTCAGCTGCTGAGTAACTATGGTGGCTCCTTTTCTTCTTCTCTTTTTTTTTTTTTTTTTTTTTTTTTTTT